CTTGAGACCCTCAGTATGGCTTGAAGATGATCATCAGTAAGTCTGGACCTGTACTTGGACTTGTTAAAGTTCAGGGTGGAGAAGAAGCCACAATGAGGAACGGCGGGCGGGACTTCCTTCAGAGGTCCATTCCCCCTGCGGGCCGCACTAATATTATACTTTCATATCACGGTGGGGGCCACAAGATATTGTCCTGCGGGCCGCAATTGGCCCGCGGGCCACGAGTTTGAGACCCCCTGGCCTAATTAATTAATTACACTAATTGTTAAATACACTGTTCATTTAAATTCACTGAATCACTAATTTTACTAATCAATTAAATTACATTAAGCCTGATTTTTTATATTAATCAGTAATCAAACTATTTGCATTAAACACTCTAATCACACTGATCAATTAAAACAATCAATTAAACAATGGATAAATTAATTATTTTTAGAAATTGATTATCTAATCATTGATATAGGTATTGGGGTAGAATTAGAAAATGCTTTCTTTAAATCGCTGGTTGAATGTTGAAATTCTCTTTTTTTTTTTTTGTAAATTTTATTTGAGTTTTCACAAAAAGAAATACAAATAAAACATCTTTTTTGAAAGCAGCATAATCCCGGGTTACATTTCTTCGTACAGACACAAATTCAGATTCATGCTCATTTTTATATTCTATTCCATATCTTACTACTATTTTACATTTTTTACATGGCTTCTCCCCTCTTTTAATTTTCTCAATTTTATTTTATTTATTTCATCTCAATTCAGATCATTATATTTTTTGTCTGTCCTGTTTCAATTGTCTATCATCTTTTCTCATTATACAAAATTTCTCCTGTAGTTACTGATTGGGGTATGACGCCTTTATATCTTTCCCCTAAAATTATAACACTCACTGTAATTTATTTATTTATTTTTATTTATTTATTTATTTGATTTGCCAATTGTTTAATACGTATAAGTGTATACATAGTTGTGAATACATGAAATGGGTACATATAAGAAAAATAAAAGAAGAATAAGAGAAACAATAGGACAGGGACAGTAGGCACGTTGGTGCGCTTATGCACGCCCCCTACAGAATACATAACTTCCATTCGGATTCTGCTTGGTACATTCTTAAACTACACACAGTATTCTTAAAAAAAGAAAAAAAAAGGAAAAAGTTGTAAATATATATAATTAAAACAACATTCCATTCCAGTTCAATTCTATCATTAATATTAATATTCATTATAGTCTTAACATTTTTCATGTTGCTTTTCAATTAAATATCATACTTCTATGGGAACCCTCTTCACTTATTTTATAAAACATTGACTAATTAAAATGTTCCCATTCCTTCCTAATTCAATTTTCTCATTTATTGTATTTCATTTACTTTATTCACAAACATTTCACTAAGTTACAGTAACTATTTTATCCCTCATTCTAATCATATGTTGTTTCAAATTTTCTAAAGTTATTTCTATTACAAATATAGCAATACAATCTTATATACCTATACAGAATCCCTTTTTCAGTTAGATTTTCACCCATTATCTCTAAATAGACCCTGTTTCTTTATATCTTGCTCCAGACCTTTGTAACTTCTTTTCCTTTCCTTCTTCCCTCTGTTCTTCTCTCTCCCCTTTTTACCCCTTTGTCTCTCTACCTCAATTTTCCTCTTCTGTATTCTCCTTTTCTGTTGCTTTCCAGTATTATACTTATTTTTTGAATTATTTTTCTTTTCTTTGGTTGGTTTTTTAAATCTTAAATTCTCCATCCTCTTTCCCCCCTTTCCTTTTTCCCCCCACATAAAGTTACTTGTTCATTAAAGATGGCTTCTTCTTTGTCCCAGTCTTCTTGTTTTGCAGTCTTGTTGTTTCTCATAGTTCCAGATCTCCATTTCTAAGAATTGAAAAACGAAGCCAAAAGAACCCTTCCCTTCTTGTGCATCTTCTTTATACTTTTTAAGTTCCATTTTCAATTCCTCCAAAAGTGATGCCATTGTAGAAATTTTTAAACAACCACCCGATTGATTTTAGTCATTCAAATATAATAACCAAAAATCCAAAAGTCACCAAGTAATCCAAATACACTCAAGCTGTTTCTTTTGCTCTTTCTTTTTTTTCCACTTTCTCTTCCTGGGGTTACTATTTAATTGCAAAGTTTCAGTTAAAATGTATCTTTTAGAAATTGAAATTTTACTTTAGATTCTTTTAAAGTCCAGGCAGTCTCCTCCCTCTTCCAGATCCTGCCCTTATTCTTTCTCTCTCCCCTCCTGCTTATAGAAAAAAAAAGTTTTAAATGTCCAGAAATCTTTATTATCCCTTTGGCATTTAGTTATATTTTCAGCTTAATTGCCTATTGATGCCAAAGCGGATTTTTCCAATTTCTTATTTAGGTCTCTTAGCTGCCAAGATAAGGAAGGGGTGAGAAGGGGAAAAAAAGCCAAACCTTTCCCTTTTCACTTTCTTTCGCTGCTTCCAACTCTTCTTTGGGAGCAATGTTATTTCTTGTAAAATTTAAATTCCAGGGTGCCTTAGTTGTTGCTTTTTCAACTTAGCCCGGTCAGCCAAAACTTTCACTTCTTATATTCCTCCTGCATGTTCTTTTCCAGTTGAGCTCTTCTTTGAGGTGGCCATTTCTGACCACCGCTCCTACCGCCTTCGGGAAAGGGAGTAATGGCCAGCTGAGGAGGAGAGATGCGGCTCTCCTTGACCCTGCTGGCAGTCTCCCCCCTCTTCACCACCTCTACGGGGTGGCTTAGCCTTGAAACCAGCCAGCTCGGGGCGCTCCAGCGGCGAGCCCAGGCAGAAACCGCGCACGATCCTGTCTGTCGCCGAAGCCCTTCAAACCGGAAGTCCGAAATTCTCTCTTTAGGGGGGGAAAAACACAGCCCATTTGTATGGAGATGGCTAATTTAAAGTGTTTGCTGGTTTTGCATTTTGTCATCAAAAAAGGATGAATCACAGCCCGTTTCTTCCTCTCAAGAAAAGATTAATGACTTTGAAGCTAGCAGGCAGATTATTTCAATGGAGGCGAAGGAATGCAAGAGATTTTTTTTAATTGGTTACTTCCTGTTGAAGAACAGAGAAAACCAACTATTCTTCTCTTCCTTTTGCAAGCAGACTTTGATTCAGCAGAGACAAACAGAACAATTCACAGGGAGGCAACAGGAAACTTTTTGTTTTTGTTTTCCCTTGATGAATGAGATTTCTGGCCCCCTCCTAGTCAATTTAAATACACTTTCAAAGTTTATTGCTTTTAAGAGAAAGAGGCACATAGATAGTCTTGCACTGGTAATTCGAACAGTATATTTTTACTATGTAGACTCAGATTTGTATTGAGCAATCACTCCTGGCTTCAATATACTTCTATCACAGGAAATACAATTGCTTCCAATCTTCACAGGAGTTCAGTTATAACAATACTTCCCTACTTATTGGGAGTCCAAAGTTACTGTCCTTTTAAAGAGGGAGTCCGGATTAGCAATTTGGTGAAGAGGGAAGGAGGGGCGGCAGGGGGGAAAGCAGTCGGCTTCACATCCTGGCTGCAAACGTCTGAAGACCGACTCACAGTTCCCGGTGCTCACTGCCCTGCAAGGATGGGATGAATCTCACTATCTCACCGCCCTGCAAGGATGATCATAGAGCCCCTGGTACTGGCAAGCCCCACCGCCTTACCTTCTAGTAAGGATGGGTCGAATCGTAGATTGTTGAGCGCTTTTGAATATAGCGCTTTTGAATTTAGTGCTTTCTGAGGAATGAGCTCTTTTCTGGTGTGCTGGTCAAGGATGGGAAGAATAGGAAATCACCGAGTACTTTTGAATGAAGTGTTTACTGAGGAATGGAGCTCTTTTCTGGCTTGCTGGCAAGTCTCGGGCGTTAGGCTTTCCACCTCATCGGCTGGACCCGCAGGGAGATTAGAGGGCTTGTCGCCTGGTGCTGCCCGTGCCCGCCAGAGCTCCTCACACTGTCGCTACCGCCGCCACCATCTTGTGATATTTGTTTCTTGCATGATGCCAAAAATCCCTTTGTTATCAGGCGAAATCCTAATTTTCTTTTTCATTACTCATTATAAATTTTGACAAGGAAGCTAGAGAATTAAATTTATCAATTTTAAGACTGCATAAAAATGTAATATTGTGAGATCTATAGTAACTCTTATTTTCACTCAGTTAATCTGAGGTAGATACATATCAGATACTGAAGGCACTTTTCAGATACATGGAGGAAGAAGTCTGAAAATCTGCCCATGATAGGGAAGCTGAATGGAGGTGCAAGGTTAATATTAAATAATCAGAGCAGAGTATCGTGTTTGGAAGCATTGGCCATGCATACTGTGGATCAGGTTTAACTATAAAACTGCGGATCAGCTATAAAACGGCTGATACTTGAATAAATATCCCTGAACAAAAGGCAGCCTTTTCTGTTTTGTTTCTAGCTTTATGGAATATTAGTCCATAGGATGATGCAAGATTCCTTCCCTATTTTTTCCCCAATTTATTTGGTTGTGCTTGAGTTAGCCTAGGCAACTGCCCGGACAAGTCTCTGTGCAGTTTTCTTGGCAAGATTTTTAGAAGCCATTTGCCATTGCCTGCTTGCTGGGGTGATGAGAGAGTGACTGGCCAAAATCCCGCAGATGGCTTTGTGCCTAAGGCAGGACTAGAACTCATGGTTTCCCGTTTCAAGCCTGGTGGCTTAATCACTATATTAATCTGGCTGTTTTTTACATAGATGTTAAGAAATTCAGAGGGCTTTTAAATGAATACGTAGATGACCATCTTTATTATACAGGTGGATTTTACATTGTTGCTGTTATTTTAAAGCTCTATTCTGCTATTTTGGTTTCCATATATACTCTAGGATAACTCAAGAATTTTAGGTGCCAAAATGCATCTTAAAAATTAAGTTTGGCTTTTTGGGGATGGGTTTATCTGTGAGTATATATGATAAAGTTTTTAAAAGTATGGATATTTCCAGTATATATGCACAGATAAGTCTTTTTTTATCCAAGCATAAGCAGCCTTTGGATTTTTATTCAAAGTAGCACGAAAAATGTGACACCCCCATCTGTAAGTAATGCATTTCTCATGTTATTTTGATAAAAATTTGATTGTCAGCTTATTCATGCACCTCTATATGCAAGAATACATGGTAGTTGTTACCATATGAAGGAAGAAAAAATATGTAGCTTCACTTTCTTTATTGAATTAAGTACATATACACTTCTATAGTAACCTCAACTTTTTTTTAATGACAGTTCAAAAAGATCTTGCTTCAGTGCACAGCATATATTAATTAGAACCAAGCCTTAAATTTTACTTCAAATAAATAATCCAAATATTTAAAATTTTAATTTAAAAGCAATATAAATGTACAATATGAAAATATAAAACAATGCATGAACATAATACTCTAAATATAGAAATAAAATTGCAACTATATTGTATAGTCAGTGCAAGAAATTAAAAGTTCCAAATAAACTTCTGAACTGGGAAATAATTTAGTTTTAGATTATCATGCAGACATAGCATTTCAAGCCATGCTATTGCCTTTAAAATTGGTATGGTATTCTATATATACCCAGAAGAAAACTGTGTGTAACCAGAGGATATTTTGCAACATTTTACTATACTGTTTTGCAATGCTGAGGAATGGGCAATTTAATATATTATCTTTTTATCAACAATGCAGTTAGTAATTATAGCAACTTCAGAAAAATTCTTAACTGCATACCACAATACTTTCACTTACATGCCTCTGTAGGATTATAGCCACTGATATCAAAATAACTGCACCAACCACACCTAATAGTGTGCCTGCTTTCCTACATTACAGAGGTATTTTGTTGCATTCGCATTCAGTAATGATAATGTGTCTTCACACCAATGTTTTCTCTACTAAAAGCTTGAATTTTGAACATAATTTAACAAAGTACAGCCTCAGACTGAGAATTATTTCATATATCTCAATCTCTAGATAGTTACTATGATCAAGAGTCAGCTCCTCTTTAATCATCTTTAGAGTTCATAATTATATCTATTAAATGAAACTTTCATGGGTAAGGTTTTGGCCCACTAATTAAGATAGATATAAACAACATTGTACAGCATGGCATAACAACTTATTTATGTGGATGCTATGATAGTGCATGTGAATTTCCTTGAACTGTAATTCATTCTGAATTTTTAAAAAATATTGTCACTGAGACAAAGACCAGGGAATGCAAATAACACAAAATGTAAACACATAAATAAATGTAACTTTTGGAGTGCACATTGACTTTGCAAGAGCTCTTGTAACAAACCTCAGCAACAAGACTACAGTAGGTCGTAGCAGCATGAGATCACATAAAAAGCACTAAAAAATAATAATCCACACCAACACACCAACATCTCATAACAACCAAGTTTCTGTGGGATGCATCCTTGCTCAAGTGCTGCTTTTCTTATAGACACTCCAGTTGTCTTGTGGATCTATGCTTTATTCATACAGATTGCCTTTAGCCATTATAACTCCAGAGTTTGACAGTTCTGTCAGCAGAAGATGATAAGAAGGAAAGATCCTGTGTGTGCCATCTGCACTGAATCACTTTGTCCTTATGTTCCCCTACTACCATAGTTGGTAGCTGCTTAGTAAGATCACCTATGAAAAATAATTAGAATAAATGTTGCTTAAAGGATGTCTGCATAGCACTGCCATTTACTTTATCTTTGCACATAAACTTTATTAATACTGTTTACTTCAAGATAATTAAAGTTGTACTCTGAAACAGATCAGATGGATTATGCTTTCTACCAGGGGTGGGATTCAATTGGTGTTACTACCGGTTCGGTGATTATGTTTTGCGCGCACATGTGCGCTTTGTGCGCCTGTAAAATAACCTTAGGCTGTGCCGCCTGGACAGCTGAACAGGTGCGCAGCGTTCAAAAAGCCTCTTTTTCCCTGCTTTTTCAACCTCAGCTGTGCTGCACAAAGCAGCTGAGGTTGAAAAAGCAGGAAATAAAGGACAAGTAAGAGCTCAGGCAGGTGCGTGGGCCAAACAGCAGCAAACACAGAACCGGTTCTGTGTCTGCTGCTCTTCAGAGCTACCAGCTCTCTGGAACCGGGAAGAACTGGTAGCATTCCACCCCTGCTTTCTACTCATTTCATTTATTACAGAACAGGTAATTCTATATCTGGTCTTTAAAAATAAGTGATAAACTATACTATCTAAACATATACTTATGGTTTTTTTTTTCAATCCCAGAAGTTACCACTAAATCATCAAAAACATAATGGATTGCAATTAAATTACATTTAAAACTATATAATATATAGTTAATTCAATAAAATGTATAATGTTTAACAATGTTTTAAACATAAATTTTTTTACACTGCGTTGTACTGAACAAAAGAGAAAATACAAATTAAGATTTTAATTGTTACAGAAACTGTCGACACTTACAACCTACTTAAAGGAATTTATGCTAAAATCAATGAGCTGTAACCAAATCTTTTCGGAAATCACTAGCAATTCTACTATTGAGTTCCAGAAATTAAAAGAGACAGCTATAGTTTATAATGGCACATCATATTTTATATAAGGATCAGAATTAGATAAATATTTGGTATAGTGGTTAAGGTGCTGGCCTAGAAACCAAGAAACTTAATGCTAGTCCCGCTTAAGGTATGAAAGTTGTCTGGGAGATTCACTGTTTCTCAGCCAAACCCACCAGGATTGCTAAGTGGAAAATAGGAAGTTAAAGGAGTATTAGGCATGTTCGTTGTTTTGACTTATTTATAAAAAATACCAAAGGTGGGATAAAAATCTAATTAATAAACTTATGAAGTTGACCTTAAGATAGAGATGAGGAGTATTAGTGCTATTTAGGAATCGTTCAGAAGTGAAATTACCTTGCAGGTCTGTGACTTTTATTTTCATGTCATATGATCCTGTGAGAAGGTAATGAGCTCCAGGGGAAAAGCGAACAGAACGGACATCACTGGAATGAGGATGATAACTTTGAACCATCCGCCCACCACGAATATCATAAAGCATACAGCTGGAATCTTCCTGTCCAGTAGCTAGAAGGCGACCACTAGGATCTACAGCCACAGATGCAACAGCACTGCCTGAAAGAAAACCCATTAGGTACTCAATTATGTGCTTGATTTCAAATCAAGATTCTAATGTAGATTCTCTAAAATACTCATCAAAACAACATCCAATGTATTTAACAATCACATTGGTGTTAATATAGAGTCAACTGTACAATAATGAAAGATCTGATTCTGTCTTTGCAAGTTTGATAAAACTAGGAACATTTGACTGATTTGAGAATGCTAAACATGCTTGTCAATAAAAGCATGTATCTGCCAATATATATATCTGCCAATGAGTTTATCCCACCCAACGTGCTCTAGAAATTTTGCACTAGCACTACAATAAACATGAGCTATGCCTTGATCCCAGAATCTAAATGATCTATGGTTGGCCTCATAACCTACAAAAAATAACTTCTTAGCTCTATGTTGCCCTTTCAGTCTTACTTGTGAGGGAGCTCCAAATGTGTGTAGGTAACTTAAATTTGGTTTTCTGCCATGCCAACGGGTGAATGGCAATTCACCAGTTGTTGTATTCACTACATTGTTTAAAACATGATTGCTACACATTATGGCCTCACCCACAGTGTTTCAGGCAAACCTGAATCAGATAACATAGTGCGAGAAATGGCTTGTAATGTTTGCCCTCTTCATTCTACAAACGAGTTATGTTGTGGACTGTAAGGTGCAGGTTTATGCTGGACACCAGCCAATTTCAGCATAGTTTGGAATCTTTTGTTAACAAACTCAGTCCCGTTATCAGTAACTAAAGTAATTACTTTACTCTTCATTTTTCTCTCAGCAAACCTTAGCCAGTTAAAGAAATGTTGGAATGTTTCTGTTTTGCTTTTCATGATAGCAGAAACCGTATCGTGAGTAATGGTCCATAATACTCAAAATATAGCAGGCATCTTCTAAACTAGGTTTCTTAGGACCAATTATGTCAGCAAAAACAACCTCGAAAGGTTCTTTGGTCTTAAACCCATTAAGACTGTTTGCAGGAGTAACCTTACATTTCTCCTGGCTACAAGCATTACAGTTTAAATACTTGCTACAGGGTTTCAATTTTACTCCCTCTGACAATTCAACAGTTTGTTTGAGCATTTTGAAATTAACGTGCCCCAGACGTCTATGCAGTAAATGTATACATTCATCATGTGGCTTAAAATTGTTATAAACTGAGTTAGCCATCATCAACTGGTCATCATGTATCACATATAAATCATTTTCTAAATTAGCAGTAACATTTTTACCCTCCTTCTCTATTATACAGTTATCTCCCCTAAAGGTTACTACATAACCAAGATTAACTAAAGCCCTTACTGATAATAAATTAAATTTCAGTTTAGGTACATATAATATAAATGTTCGTTTATACAAGAACAATATGCAATACCTTGACCTGATGCCTTTATATTCCATCCATTTGCCAGTGATACATGTTGTTTACTTGTGGACATCTTTACAAACTCTTTCTATCTTTAGTAATGCACTACGATGCTCCACTATCAACAACCCACAAATCATGGTTTACAGTTGAATTGTTAGACATAGCTAAACTAATATTCTTTTTGGCCTTCTGGTGATTACCAGTATTCTGTTGTTTTCCCTTCTTACAGAATCTAACTATATGTCCCCTAGCCCCACAAGAAAAACATTTCCTAACAGTATAGGCAGTTGAAGATAAATCCTCTTCTTGTGGTTGTTCTTTCCTCAGTTGGTTCCTATCCAGCCGTCTTCTTGCTTCTTCTAACAACCTTCCGGTTATGTCAGTCAGTGTCAGTTTATCTCTGGGCAGGACTTCCAGTGAAGATACATAATCATCATAACTTTCATCCAATGAGGAAAGAATGATGTAAACTTGAGGCAGCTCTGAAAATATCAGTTCCTTTTCATGTAGCTCTTGAAAAGTTCTTTTCATGAAGTTTAAATGAGCTAACATATCTCCACCTTTCAGAAGACGTGCTCTAAACATTTTACGTGTAAGATGTATGTGTTAGGTGTCTAATTAAAGATTCCCAGTATTTACTCAAATTTATGAAGAAGCTATTCCTTTACCATGACAATCTCCATCTTCTGCACAAATATTTTGAACAGCTACCAACAATAAGTGTTTTTAGGTCAATATCAGTAAGCATACCAGTTCCATGAAATGTTGTTCCAACAACTCGAACACAACTTGGTACTCGGAGATCCCAGAATCTCACAGTCTTGTCTTGGGATCCAGATGCTATCATCCATCCACTCCATGTATAAAGTGCTAAAATGTGACCTGCATATAAGAGATATTTTGTATTCACTGCATTTTTAAAAAGCTATTAACACCTATAGCAATAGCACTTAGACTTTTACACCACCTCATAGTGCTTTACAGCCCTCTAAGCGGTCTAATTAAGAAATAGTTACTTTTAAGCCACAACAAGGGAGATTATAAGAGATACTTATAACTTTTTTATGTTTTTAACATGCAGTATGCATTTTAAACTTTATTAAACTTTTCATAAAGCAAGATTATAAAGCTCATGATTTTTTATTTTATATTTTACAATAATTCCATTTCATTTCAGCTGTGTGTCGACTGGGTACATATATCTTGTGCGTACAATTATAATTAATACTTTCTTGCCAATATAACAATAATCACATTTTCTTATAGCTATTATTTAATATATCTATTATTTTTTAAACAATCTTAACTTATTGCTCTATATATTCATCTAGTCCATTTTAATTTGTTTTATTTTTATTTTATATTAACCAATATTAACCTCTGCACATTCAAATATTTTCTCAATTACTTTTCCCTCTCTCGGTATTTTATCACTTTTCCAATTCTCAGGAAATGCAATTCTGGCTGCTGTAAATGTATAATTAAATATGTTTTTTCTTTACTGTAATCTTCAGGTACCATTCCTAATAAAAAATATTTCAGTTTCAAATCTATGTATTTTATCATTTTTTCCAACCATGTGTGTATTTTTGTCCAATATCTTTTAGCTTCTATACAAGACCACCACATATGGTAATATTTCCAGGTGTCTGGTGACACTTCCACCATTTAGCTGATTTATCTTTAAACATCTTAGCTAATTTTACTGGTGCAAAATGCCATCTATAAAACATCTTATACAAGTTTTCTTTGTATGCTGTCAATATTGTTAATTTATAATTCCTATCCCATAGCTTCTGCCATTTATCTAATTCTATAGCATATCCAAAAAATTGTTGCCCATGCTATCATTGTTTCTTTAACTTATTCTTCTTCTAGTTTAACACCTAGTAAATAGCAATATAATCTTTTAATAAACTTATCTTCTGTTCCTGTTAATATTTTATCCAATTCTGTCAACTCCTAAAGCTAATGATTCTGATGAACTAATAACATACCAGTATGGCCACTCAAAGCATGGAGACCTTGCCCTCTCTGGCAGTCTGTGGTATAAATATTACAATCACCAGCTCCAGCACTTATTAAAATGGCACCACCACTTTCAGGACCTTCCATAAAAGCTAGATCTCTAATAGTTCCATCATGCATGCTAAATTCCAGATCTGGCCCTAAAAGCATCAAAACAGGAAAAATATAAACAAATACATTTTCAGTACAGAATAAATTTACTAACCATTTAAGGAATTTTATGATGCAATGTAAAAATAAGCAAAAGCTTAGTTTTGAAAAGCTAAGAAACAAATAGGCCTACTAAATTTTTCAAAATATATAGTTACTATGTTTTAGCAAACTTCAGCCAGGGCAGGCTGTGGTTTTGAAAAGGACTCTATCAGGCTTACCTGGCAGCATAGCAGGAATCTGTGTAAACATTTAATTAGTAGGAGAAATAATTTTCTTTCCCAACTGTGGATTTTATGTTGCACTGGAGCAAAATTTACATAAAATCCTAGGTAATTAAAATGGAGTTTACCAAACTCCAATTATATTGTTTTTTTAAGAGAGTCCAATTGTAGAAAATAGCAAAGGAGTCTGTCAATAACTTGAGGCTGCCATATAAAAACTAAATCACAGTAAACTTCAGTTTAGTGGACTAATGGAGAAAACTATGTCCCTATTAATCCATTAAAGAAGTTAATAAATCGCGAATGGCCCTAAAAGGCATTCATCTGCAAGAATTATTATCTAATAATAATTACAGTAAACACCTATAAACTGCCATGATTAATAATGAATAACCAAAAATATCTTATTCTGAAAAGGGAGCTGCTGCATTTTACTTTTTCTATTCTGCACTAATTGAAAGAAAAGGAGTATCATCTAACAATGAATACTCATTTTTGAGGAAAAAGTAATGAGTACTATCCATTGTTTGGGGCAGAGCCAATATTGTGTGAATACGGACAAAACCTGATTGAAACATTTTATACACAAAACACCTAAAGATATTTCAGGTCATCTATAATACAATAAATATTCTTAATATTTTGCCATTCATCAACATTTATTTGTAATCTAATTTTATATCTAATATATATGTGGTAGGGAATAGAGACAGAAATTGATTCTGTTCTAATTTAGGAAATGAGAAATTCAGACAGAAAGATGCTATTCAGAATTAGGATTTATCGATGACTTACTCTGAAAATGTTTCGGATTGAAAGGAACAGCTAGTTTTGACTCAATTATGTTATTTGCAAGAACTATTTTGTTTTTCTTCTATCGCCAGTGTTCAGATTTATTAAAATTTGTAATTACTTGCACTTACCAGTGGCATTACAGGTATCTGCATTGAAAGGCAGCACTTTAACATATTTGTCATTGGAACCGGTAGCCAGCAACTGTCCACAGGGGCTCCATGCTACACAATAGATCGATCCCTTGTGATGTTTGTTCCGTTTGAAATGAACGACGGGTTGTTTAGGAGTGCTATTACCACTAAAAATATTAGAAAGATTATTATTATATTCTTCACTCTGTGTCTGTATGTGCATGAACATATATGGGTAAACAAATAAAGCCAACTACAATAGTTGTGGCTTAATAATAATATTGGGAAAGAGTAATTATTTTCACCAAAACAATTTTAAATGATTTAAATACATTTAAGGTATTAGGAAATACAAAAAAAAGATAAATTCTTAAATATAAAATAAAAATAAATAGCAGAAATGTATCTGATCATAAAGGTTGAGTTGAAACTAGTTAATTTTTAGTGAATATGAAAACAAAGTTACACATTTAAACATTGATCTGACTATTGCAAGCACCTCTAAATTATAGTAATAATTTATTAAATGTACGTGCCAACTATCTGTTTTAAAAAAGAAAAAGAAAAAAGAATGCAAACGAAGCATCATCATTGATATCTAGCTTTTTGGGGTATGTCATGAAAGATGGGATTAGAACAGTTTGATTTGCAATTTCTTTCTCACATTCTATAATCTAAATCAACAATATACAGTTCTATGCACATCCATTCAGAAATAAAGCTCAAAAAGATCAGTTATGAATAAAGGGGACTGCAATCTAATTTAGCTGTTTATAAATTATTTTCATTTCAAACTTAACTAAATGTATTTTTTAAAATTTTTTAAAAAATTATCCTGTGGATAAAAATTGTATTTTATGCTACAAGATCCATCAGTCTTTGTGTGTCTTATAGATCTACAATAAATGGAAGGGAGGCACTGCTAAAATGATTGGGGAAGTAATATGTAAGATGAGCATTTCATTGCTTTCCTGATGTAATTCCAAATTACAGCATGTTGTTGGTGCCTGACTTTTCTCCAATCTAAATTCATTCGCTGAAATTTCTATTAATTCCAAATAAAAGGCTTCATATATTTGCATCAAAAGAAAAAGAGGAAATGGGGAATCTTGACAAGAAATTATTGATCTTTGTCCTTTCCCAATTTGGGATTTATTAGCTATGCTTCAAAACTGTTTAACATTTTATCTAGGCTGGCTTTTAAACGAAAGCATTGCCAATTTATTACCCTTATTTTCACCTCAATATATCTACATTAGAACCACATTAGAGTAAACCTTGAAATAATTTGTATATTTCTAGCTTGTTCTGCATCCCAGCAAAATATCATTCTCATATAAAACATTATTGAATCAATTGCATATCCTGTTGCAGTCTACATATTTTTTTAAAAAAATAATAGGATGCTTTTCCCCAAAAGCTCTATGGAACCCAAATCTTGGAACACTGGGCTAATGCAGGGCAGGAATTCTTTGACCTTCCAAATCCAATGTTCAGGAACCAATGGTATATAAGTCTTTTCACATATAACATCCAGGAATCCAAAAGTGTCTGCATCTAAGCAGATTAGTAGGGCTTATAGAGTAAATCTGTGTTGCTAATGTAAATCAATCTAGAGTCATAGTACTTGCTGATCTATTACAGCTCACCCACAGTTCAATCAATAAAAACAGATTTACTTTCTGCCTCTACATTTTGTTCCATTGAGACAACAACTTGCTGAATTAGGAATTAAATGATTCTACTCTTTGAAATAAAATCCACTACCTAGCTATCAAATGCAATCCATATTAATACTGCTTTGTGAAAGCTGTTTCTGGGATTTTTTGGAATGCACAAGTTCAATTTTGTGAGAGAGCTTTTTTATACCTGCCCTTTCCTTGAACAGCATAATTTACCACCATCGTATTCAGAGAACAAAACAACGAATTTATTTACTTATTTATAGTTAGAATATATGCAACAGAACATATCCCCTTCTAACATTATAGGAGCGAAGGTTAATTTATACAATTGGACTGTCCAAAAAAATTTTACGGTCTATACAGTGGAAAGAAAGATTAACATTTATTTTCTTGGCCACTTCTGATGTACAGTACTTGAGATAGTAAAGGCAACGTGTTATATGCCAAAACAAATTAATGTATAAGAAAACAAATTTAGCCATATGCAAATACAATGGCTCATAACTGTAATGCCAATGAAAGTGTAATAATGCTTCGCATTATTTTCTTTTTCTATACAAGCATATTAACCAATACAGTTCCAAGAACAGAGACATTTGACAATCATTTACAGGTAGCTGTAAAATGTAAATATGTAAACAATGTATATAAAAATAATGACGCAATGTTACTACTCGGTTGTATAACTAAGCAAAGAAAAGAGGATGCTAATATGGCAACAGAGAGCTAATATAATCAAGACATTTTTAAAGTAGCATTTAAAAAAAATGATACAGAAGCTGAAAAGTGTCCTGGTATTAAGTTATAAAGCGTGGAGAAAAAAACAGCCCAAACACATAGAGAAGGCAGTATATTTAGATGTGGGAAAGCACATAATGGAAAAGCCAAAAGAAACACCCCCCACACACCCAATGAACTAAAAATTCCAAAGTGTAGGTAAGAGGAAATAAATATACTAGTTACTTTGTTGTCATCTTTACAGAAGAAGAGAGCGCAGATCTGCCTAAGTCAAATACGAGTTTTTGAGGAACAGCAGTGGAGGAGCTAAACAACATATAAGCAAATAGTTACAAAGAGACTAGGAACATACTTCACAAGATATCCTATGTGAGTTAATACACTTATGACTTTTTCAGTTTTACATGGTGAAAGTGGACTTGTAATGGGTCACACAAAAACACACACTGGGCCAATATTTTATACAGCGAACTAATTGAAGAAGCAGCAAGTCATGTAATCTAAGGCACAGTCAATATGGGTCCCTTTGCCATACTTGGCAGCCACACAAGACAATGGAGATTGAAGAAACTCAGCAAGGATGATGGAATTGTTGAAATACATTTCTTACTTTCTAAATTTCTTACTTTATAGAAAGATACAAATGAGAAATGAACCATGATTCCAAATTCGTTTTCAGTAGTCATTGACTTTAATGGAACAACTTGTTATTGCAAGGCCTGCTATTGGTCATTTGTGCATGATAATTTGATTGCTGGTATCAAAATTAGAGGAAAGATACTGCAGGGAGACCTCATTTTCTGATCACAATTGGATAACCAAAACACTATTATAAAGTGAAAGGTCATGTGACTGCAATGACTTACGACATCGGTTCCACTGAAGTTGTTAAGTGAATCATTGCAGGTCATTAAGTGAAATATCATGTTACTGCATCCTGCAACTTCCTGCTGGCTTCCCCATTTATTTTGTTGGAAGCCAGTTATAAAGGCTAAAAATGATGATCATGTGATCATAGCAGTGATGGGATTCAATTTTTTTTTACTACTGGTTCTGTAGGCATGGCTTGGTGGGCGTGGTGTGGCTTGGTGGGCATGGTTTGGTGGGCATGGCAGGGGGAAGGATACTGTAAAATCTCCATTCCCTCCCCACCCCACTAACCTGCTTTCCAGCTCTGTTCTCCTGTGCAGGGAAACCAAAGAAGACCCAGCTGATCAGCTGGGACTCGGGAGGCAGAAAGTAGATGGGGGCGGGGCCAGTCAGAGGTGGTATTTGCCGGTTCTCCAAACTACTCAAAATTTCTGCTACCGGTTCTCCAGAACTGGTCAGAACCTGCTGAATACCACCTCTGGATCATAGGATGCTGCAACCTTCATAAATGTGCAGTAGTTCACAAATGTCCTAATTGCAATCATGTAACGGCAGGGATGCAACAGCCACAATTTTGAGGACCGATTATAAGCCTCCATTTTCAGCGCGGTCATAACTTCAAACAGTTGCTGAATTAGCAGTTGATAAGTGAGGATTAATTATTTTGTAATACCAGTAAAATTAAGAAATGTAACCAGTTTCACTCTTGGGATAGGGATAAAGTGAAGGCAACATTATAGGAGTTCATTTAAAAAAAAGATTTGCCAGGGTATATTTTTATCACAGTTAGGTACAAGGTGGAAATGTACTATGCATTTTTTCTGTTCCTGTCCATGCCAGCAAAGGTGCATTAGAACATCTTATTTGTCATGTTTCCTTACTCATTTTCTAATTTGAAAATCAAAAATTGTTGCATGAAAGTGCCACTGCCTAATCCCTACCCATAAGATAGTTAATCAATTTACGTCTTAAAATGAACCAATCAAATTCTTACTTTCTGAATTAATAAGTAATGGGCATCAGACAAATTGACTATGCCTTTTGGTATATATTTTACTAACAAGGTACCCTTGCTTTGCTACGAAACTCTGTGATTGGGCAAGTTTTTGGGGAGGAAAATAAGGGGGGGGGATTGTGCCTCTGTCTACCAGCATCCATCGGTATTCATCTGGCTAGCGTCCTGTCAGTGTGTGAGAGAGTTCAGGGCTGTTTGGAAACTGAAACATTATTTGCTGTGTGAGCAAGGAGACAGAAATGAGCCTGGGCGTGGCTTACCTCAACTGTTCTGTACTAAAGCTGCTTGGTGCTGTGAAACTAAAACTGAAACTCCTCTCCTCTGCTTGTGTTTTGCATTTGGAACAGATTTCTTTTCAGGTGGGGAGTGGAAGTAGAACTCCTTAGCATCAGAGCGTGTTAATAATAATATACGAAATACTAATGCTCTGATGGTCATTTTGAAAAATCCTTTCTTAGTGAGCACCTTGAAGCTAAGATGAACATACGTGCCAAATTTCAAGTTTGTAGGCTTTACGGTTCTGGAGATTTTGTGATGATGCGTGAGTGGTATTTCGCTTTTATATATATAGATAAATGTCTTGAAATAACAGGGAAAAAGTATAGAAAAATGTATATGAATCTTAGTGTGCTCAAAAATGTATTTCAATTTTTGAGGAAATTTTTATAAAATATAAACTGAAATAGAAATAAGATGGGACGTGCTTGAAACAATGCAACTAAATAGTAAGAATACACTATTATCAAATTTTCAGGTGCTTTTATTGATAAAGCTAAATTTTGCTTGTCTTAATAACTGAAGTTTAATATAAATCACCTCACAGGATTGTTATTTAGACTATTATGTTAAAAAGTCATTTATATCATATTATTACAATAAAGTATGATTTGATGGTTGCAGTTATTTATTACTGGATACTAAAGGTATTCAATTAATTAGGAATTTAGTGAAAGTTCGTGTGCGAGTGTGGGTGTTGAGCTCATCTCCTAAAGAAAGATATAACTAGAAAAAAGACCTGCTTTTAGTCTGCTTCATCTAGCATCAACAATAACCTTAAGAAATTATGAATTGGTACTAAAGTCATCTAGAAAGCCAGTTTGGTGGAGTAGATAAGGCAGCAGGCTAAAAACTGGGGAGTTCTAGTTCTACTTTCTCTTCAATGACTCAAGGACACTGGCCTAGTCAATGCATTAATAAAAATCCCCCAAGGAAAAATGGACAAAATTGTTTTTTTGCTAAATGGAATTTCAGATTGTTACCAAAAGGAAACATTGAACCCAATGATGTTTTCTTGAGTGTGAAAAATAAATCTAAGTAAACCTGTATACGTAAAATACTTCAGATAATATTGTAGTGGTATTTTTATTTCAGCAAGTTAAAAAAATTGGGAGAAAAGAGCAACAAAAAAGAAGAGAGCAAACATGGATGCAAATATTACATGGCAAGTGATGAGAAAAATCCAATACATTATTCGTACCTTGAGTCCGGGAAGTCTGGATAGCCACAGACTCTCAGAGTTTTGGAATTAGAGCCAACAGCATACAGAGTGCCACTTGGATGAAAAGCCACAGCTCTAACAGCTTGTGTATCTTCTAGAGTATCGATACAAATGAATTGTTTCTTTGATTTGTCATCCTGCTGTATAAAACAGCAATATAAATATGAACTTTATTTTTATTAGGAAGCAAGTATAAAAATTAATGCCTTTAAAATTATATTTTTATTAAACACTTCTGAGAAAGCAAAAAAAGGCAAATGAGACATAAAAATAAAATGCAAGTAAATGTTATATATCACAGAATTAAATGATTAGATAAGAATCTTTAATATTTCATTAGTTTTATATAACTGAGTATCTTGTATCATTTTAAAACTGTAGGTCACTGTGAAAATCCAGTTAGTGTGTAAATATTAGTAGCAATAATTAACACTGTATAAATCATGAAGATAAAAAGTTCTAGTAATTTCTGTTGGAAAAGGGAAAGACTCAATGTTATTTAACAGGTCATTCAAAATTAAATATTTCTGTTTAGACTAAATTATAATTAAATTTATGTTCAGAGAAATTAAATTTTAGATGTGAAACAAACTAATACATAGAATCAAAATATAAAAATGACTTCCAAATTAAATTAAATTGTTTTTTATTTGTTTTTCAAACATGAAGTTATTTTGGACATCAATACTCTATATAACTCCTAATTCTTTTGCAGAAGGAAAAGTACATACTTTCTAATAAAAAAATACATATTTTGTAATAAGAACTATAAAGTATTTTTGCAGCAGCCATTATATACAAAGATAGCTGTAATGTTTAATCAAAATAGAAGATTAGAAAATAAATTCAGCTTTTAGAATTAGTTTCATTTTATTATAAATCATGTTTCAAAATGATGAAGCTTTGCAATATAACCATCAAATATGAAAAAAATGATTTAACCTGGTCACTGCATTTTCAGCCATTTTTGGAACATGAATTATTCATTTTAACAATCAATACTAAAGTAATACAGTAGCAGGGAAACATTTTATATCCATCTATTAGCAGTAAAACAAATGGTTTAGCTGCAAGTATAGAAATACCTAAACTGGATTGTAATATTCAGAATGATGGTAACTGATTTAAAGTTCCATGTTAAATAGACTTATCTTTCAATGATACCTTTACCAAACTATGCATCATATGAACCAGGTAATAATTTGAAGCTCCAAATTATTCTATAAATAATATCATATCATATATTGTATAACATATCAAACATGTTATATATCTGATCTTGTACTGCTATATTTTTTGCATAATCTGGTATGATACACCAGATGTAGAATTCTACAAAGTATAGATGTTTATTCCATCAGTGTCTATGACTACATAAATTTATGATCTAATCAGATGATACTAGAGAGTTGGGCCCATTTTTTCTGACAATTACAACTGTCACTAGATGTCACCCTATTATAACAATAAATGACAGAATATTTCAGACTGTATCCTGCTATGCTCTTTCAGCATGATTGGGGTGTTCCTTGGAGTAAAGAATGAAGCACACTGCCCAACCTGTATATTCCCAGTAGGATCACCCAAAGTACAAAGATAATCCCAGCTGTTCAACTAAAACCACATGGTTGGACCAGATAAAGCGATTTACAGTATAATGTGGAATCATGGCCCCCTTATTTTGGGTAGTGCTCAACATGTTACTGAGGAAGAGCTAAATATCTTTCGGAATATTAATGGTGTTTATAATACAACTAGGTTAAATCCTAATTGAAATGGATTGGAATTTGACACATTCAGTCCAAAGATCTCACTGTACTTAGGACATGAAAAAAAAAGGAGCAGTATTGTTTTCATAATTAGAAAGAATATAGCGACTTCTGGTTTGAAGGGCTTTGGCGACAGACAGAAATCCGCGATCATGCGCGGTTTCTGTCTGGGCTCGCCACTGGAGCGCCCTGAGCCGGCTGGTTTTGGAGCTAAGCCACCCCGTAGAGGTGGTGAAGAGGGGGGAGACCACCAGCAGAGTTGAGGAGAGCCTCATCTCTCCTCCTCAGCTGGCCACTACTTCCTTTCCCGAAGGCGGTTGCAGCGGTGGTCAGAAATGGCCACCACAAAGGAGAACTCGACCGGAAAAGAATGTGCAGGAGGAAGATAAGAAGTGAAAGTTTTGGCTGACCGGGTTAAATTGTAAAAGCAACAACTAAGGTACCCTGGAATTTAAACTTACAAAAAATAACATCGCTCCCAAAGAAGAGTCGGAAGCAGCGAAGGAAAGTGAAAAGGGAAAGGTTTGGCTTTTTTTTCCTTCTCTCTCCTTCCCTATACTGACAACTAAGAGACTTAAATAAGAAATCGGAAAAATCCGCTTTGCCATCAATAGGCAATTAAGCTGAAAATAAAACAAAATGCCAAAGGGATAATAAAGATTTCTGCACATTAATTTTTTTCTTTTTCATAAGCAGGAAGGGAGAGAAAAAGAATAAGGGCATGATCTGGAAGAGGGAGGAGACTGCCTGGAATTAAAAAGAATCTACAGTAAAACTTCAACAAGACTTCTAAAAGATACATTTTAACTGAAACTTTGCAACTAAATAGTAACCCCAGGAAGAGAAAGTGAAAAAAAAGAGCAAAAAAGAAACAGCTTGCGTGTATTTGGATTATTTGGTGATCTTTGGATTCTTGGTTATTATATTTGAATGACTAAAATCAACCGGGTGGTTGTTTAAAAATTTATACAATGGCACCACTTCTGGATGAATTGAAAATGGAACTTAAAAAGTACAAAGAAGATGCACAAGAAGGGAGGGGTTCTTTTGGCTTCATTTTTCAATTCTTAGAAATGGAGATTTGGAACTATGAGAAACAACAAGAAACATCTGCAAAACAAGAAGACTGGGACAAAGAAGAAGCCATCTTTAATGAACAAGTAATTCTATGTGGGGAAGAAAAAGGAAAGGGGGGGAAGGAGAATGGAGAATTTAAGATTTAAAAAAACAACCAAAGAAAAGAAAAATAATTTGAAAAATAAGTATAATACTGGAAAGCAACAGAAGAGAGGAATACAGAAGAGAGAAATAGAGGCAGAGAGACAAGGGGGTAAAAAGGGGAGCGAGAAGAAGAGAGGGAAGAAGGAAAGGAAAAGAAGTTACAAAGGACCGGAGCAAGATATAGAGAAACAGGACCTATTTAGAGATAATTGGTGAAAATCTAACTGAAAAAGGGATTCTGTACAGGTACATAAGATTGTATTGTTACATTTGTAATAGAAATAACTTTAGAAAATTGGAAACAATGTATGATTAAAATGAGGGATAAAATAGTTAGTGTAATTTAGTGAAATGTTTGTGAATAAAATAAGTGAAATAAAATAAATGAGAAAATTGAATTAGGAAGGAACAGGAACATTTTAATTAGTTAATGTTTTATAAAATATAAGTGAAGGGGGGGGAACTAACTATGGAAAGCTTATAATTGTTCCCATAGAAGTATGATATTTAATTGAAAAGTAATGTTAAAGATGTTAAGACTTTAATGAATATTGATATTAATGATAGAATTGAATTGGAATGGAATGTTGTTTTAATTATATACATTTATAATTTTTTTCTTTTTTTAAGAATACAGTGTGTATTTTAAGAATGTACCAAGCAGAATCCGAATGGAAGTTATGTATTATATTGAATGTTACAACTTTAGGGAAAAGATATAAAGGCGTCATACTCCAATCAGTAACTACAGGAGAAATTTTGTTTAATGAGAAAAGATAATAGATAATTGACAGGACAGACAAAAAATATAAATACAATGATTTGAATTGAGATGAGATAATTAAAATAAAATTGAGAAAATTAAAAGAGGGGAGAAGCTATGCAGAAAATGTAAAATAGTAATAAGATATGGAATAGAATATAAAAATGAGCATGAACCTGAATTTGTGTCTGTACGAAGAAATGTAACCCGGGATTACGCTACTTTCAAAAAAGATGATTTTATTTGTATTTTTTTTCTCTTTGTGAAAACTCAAATAAAATAAAAAATAAAAAAAAAGAATATAGCAAGGACAATACCTGGGTACAATGCAATCAATGATCAAATATTATCAATTACATTTCACAGACAATCCTTTAATATTCTAAAGAAAATGAGCTGGTCTAAAGAAAAGAATTAGGGGCAACATTATAGCAGTATTCCAGTATTTGAGGGGTTGCCACAAAGAAGAGGGGGTCAAATTATTCTACAAAGCACCAGACGGAAGAACAAGAAACAATGGTTGGAAACTAATCAAAGAGAGAAGCAACCTGGAATTGAGGAGAAACTTTCTAACAGTGAGGACAATTAACCAGTGGAACGCTTGACACCAGAAATCATGGGCGCTCCATCACTGGATGTTTTTAAGAAGAGTCTAGACAGTCACTTATCTAAAATGGTATAGGTTTTTCTGCTTGAACTAGACAACCTCCAAGATCCCTTCCAGCTCATTCATTCTATTCTATATAACAGGTCAATCATGTCAAACTATAAAATGTCCCTAGGAAAATATGAATCCTAGAGTGTCTTATTGTCTTAACGAGAAATCTATGTAGAGGATAGGAAGATATAATCTAGCTGAAACATTGTAAAACATTGGATTCGTGTTAGCAAAGAAACAAGACAAGATGTAAATTCTGTCTTTATTTATTAAACTTATACATTGAATATATGCTGAGTGAGGTTGCATTAGGATAAATGAGCATGGTTTAACACTGGAGAGAGAAACATCAATAATCTATGCTATACTGATGACATTATTTTGATAGCTGAAAATGCAAATGATCCAGAAGCTAAATGGAAGTAAATAGGACTACAATTAAATATTAAACTAAATAAAATTAAGTAAATAAAGACCAAGTTAATGACAGCAGCTACAGTAACCAGCATTAGAGCTAATGATGAAGACACTGAAATAGTATAGTTCTGCCTTTTAGAATCAATTACCAACAGTAAAATCAATAAATATGTCATAGACTAGCACTTGGTGTGGAATAGTAGTAATAAATAACTTTAAAAATACTTTCAAATGCTGTGACATGTCTATACCTACAAAGATCAGAATCATGCAGGCAAAGATTTCCTTGTGACATTCTGTAGAAGCAAAAGTTGGATTTTGAAGAAACAAGATAGAATATTTCTATCTTTTATTGGTAATAGAGAAGACTGTTAAGAATACTATGGATAGCCCACAAACATAAATGACTGGATTATGGAACTAAATGAGAGGGACAAATGGCAGTGAAATCCTACCTCATCACTTCTTGGTTTTCTTATACTCCCTGAAGAATCTTCATGTTGTGACTGAATGGCAGCTTGGTCTGTCACACTGTTTTAAATGCACAAAATTAAATCCAATATAGTGAGATAAACAGATTTTTATCTTTTTAAAATTTAGAGACCAGAAACATGATCCATTCTGATATAATTGAAAGGAAAGAGGCTCAGAACACTAGAAGAGTGATAGAAGATTTATTTCAAATATTTTCATTTGGAAATAACATATATTTCTTAAATTAACTTTCATTATTACACCCAAATTACTGCAGACCAATTTCAATAAAATCATCTATTGAAGTCCCTTCTTTTGTTCTGACTTCCTTTGCTTTCTGCTGCTTTTGTTTTAAACTACATATTATGATTTTTCAGCAGTAAACTCAAATTCTTTTTAGAGCAAACAGGGTTTTCTTTCTGAATTGAAAATAAAACAAACTTTGTAATCCATAATTCTAAAAGTGTGCAGGAATAGCTTGATAGCCTTCAGGAATTTGAAGTATTTTGCTATTTAGCTACAATTATACTTAACCCAGAATTGAGATTTTTGTGTCTTTGGTGTCTGCTGATAATAAATGCTTATATGTCCCCAATGAAACAGAAATCCCTCGTCAGATCCTTGTGGACTGAACTGAAAACATGTGCCACTGATCTAATTTTGATGAATCCACATGGGAGGGCACCTCAATACAGATTGGGCCTTAATGACAATACTCTCTACTCAAAACCCAAATGCCTTTCTCTTCCAACCTTGAAGACAATATTACACAAACAAACAAACAAACAAACAAACAAACAAACAAACAAACAAACAAACACACTTTGCAGTTCTCAGCCTGGGTCAATCACATTTAGGCTAAATCTCCACATTTTAAATGGGTCCTTTGAAAGGAGAACCTCTCCTCTCCCTCAGACTTAGAAAGGAGTCAGTGGCAAACCACTTCTAAAATTATGCCAAGAAACCTACAGGAAGTTGACCATGCAACCCCAGCAATCAAAAACTGACTCCAAGGCACTCCCCTCAAAAAGCACAGTATTGACAAAAATATTTGTCTACTTACATCTGATTTCCATGGACAGGTGATTCTTCAAGAGATGGTATCTGATTACTGGAGCCAAATTTTTGAGGTGTACTTGTGTTAATGTTTGTATTATCATCAGCTATTCTCTGACTAGAATCTGGGGGAATGGATACATTTCCCTTGGTCCCATTGCACTTCTGGTTTAATGTCTGCACGTCATTTCCCAGATTATCCATTCCCATGTTTAATTCACCCAACTTTTGGATAGACCTATAGGGCATATAAAAAAATCTTATTTACTCATAACTCATAAACTGCAAGAAGTAAATCCAGTCAGAAGGAAAATTAAAATCAGGTTAAAATATGTTTTTTTGCAACTATCATTATTCAATGAATTGTCAACATTTTTGCTAGCATTTTGTTACTTGGTAACCCAGAAATAGAAAATCATTAAAGCAAACCTATTAAGAAACTGTTCTGTAAGATTCTGTTGTTCTGAACCATTTTCCTGATTAACTCCTCCTTCTAATAACATTTGTTGATACAATTGCCGTTGTTGTTCCTTTTGCTCTAAGTGTTGTTGATATCGTAACCGCTGTCTATAATATTCTTGAAACTGCTCTGTTGAATCTCGAAGCTAAAACAGATTAAATAAAATTAAATGTTGCCGAACATATCCACCATATTCTTATTAGAGGTATACAATATAGTGACAAACATTTGGTGATCTTTGTACATTCTGGCCTTATTTTCTTTGCAGCTACGTAAAACAATTAACTTTTAGTTAAGTAAACACAACAGATTAAATTTACCAAAATCAAAACCAGATATGCACAAAGTAAAATCAACCCACCTCAGACAGCCATACTGTCCAAATACTTAAAATCAGTAGATACAGTAATTAATCTTAAAAGAAATTACTGAAGAGAAAATGGCTGGACATCTTGAAATGCAAAGGTTGTCACTTAGTAGCAGTAAACATCGCTCCCCAATATCCACTGGTTGGAGGAGAACCAAGTTACTTATTCCCACTTCAAAGTATTTGAAGTATTTGAAATGTCAGGAAGGAAACCAAATAGGAAAAACTGAAAACAGAATCTCTCATGCCTAAACAACTGAAAAAATATTGTATGCTTCCAAAAGTAAACAAATAATAACATTCAAAAAGAGATTTAGCCATGCCTCTTGATAATCAAAGTATCTTTAGACATAATACCTGATTCATGCCAGCTACCTGTCTGTCTTACCCGAAACATTACCATCACCTCATAAGCAGAGAAAGGAAGGCAGATAACCCCTCTATTATATATTCCCATTGGACAAGTTCTTCCTTACTTCTAAGTTCACAGGCGCTTTCTTCCCTCCAAAATTAGGCAAGCATATAGCATAAGCTGTGCTATGCATGCCCTGTAAACCAAAAGGAGTAACTTATGTATAATGCTGCCCTAAGCACTACTCTCTTGACCCTAAGCATAGGGCTACTGCTATTAAGCTGGATTTTTGGCTAAGAAACAGATTTAAAAATAGGGAAAATATAATTGCGCCATATAAATGCTCTGTACAAAATGAGGGGAAAAGTGTTTAGCATAAACTTGTAAAGCAACTTTGGATTCTATATTTTGTGTTCTTTATCCTTCAGTTTGGCCCTCAAAAAAAAGGAGGGCATCTGTCTAATTGGTTATCTTCATGCTGTCCTCATGTTATAATTTGCCACAAATGCTGAACTAATCTTAACTCACATAAATGTACACTTTTCATATTTTTATAGAAAAGGCCTTGTTTCTATTTCAGTAAAGACTAGGCTAAATACTTTTTTATTTGGGAGATTTGATACATAGTCAGGATTTTTTTTAAAAAAAATATCTTTTCTATTGCAGACTTCTATGCTTGGTAGATTCATGTGATTCTAAGGGCAGAAGACCATCCCAAACATTTCAAGATGGGGTTGTAGAAAATAAGGAACAAAGATCAGATGTACCTTGAATGACCTTGAAGGAAGGAAAAATAAATGAATAAAATTGAGCCTATGTATAAATAAATGCATTTATTCTCATATCATCCCCTAAACATTGGCTATCCAACCTTTCCTTAAATACTTCCAGTGATAGGGATCCCATGACTGCTGAACCCAGGCTGTTTCACCCATACCTCTCACGGGGAAGAATTTTCTCTTTATTTCCAGTTGTCCCTCTGTGGAGTTTCTTGCCTTACCCTCAAGAGCTATGGAGAATAAATCCACCTCTTTTCCTTGTGACAGCTTTCAAGTATGAAAAAACTCCATCGTGCCCTTTTGTAGTTTCCTCTTCTTTAAGCTAAACATACTTTAACAGAGTGTCATAAGACTTAACTCCGAGCCCCATCTGTTATTCTTCTCTGCACTTCCTAGTTCGTCAATGTACGGCTTGTATTGTGGTGATCAGAATTGGATATAGTATTCAAGTCCAATTTCATCAATACAGCATAGACCAAAATATTCAGAAGTCCTTTATTTAAAGTTTTTAAAAAATACCTCATTTTTTTCTTGCTTGATTGGTCCTTGATTCTGTGTTCCATTTGCTGGCTCTTTTTCTGGAAATGAATTCTGGTGTGTCGTCTCATTACCAGATGAATTATGGGAATCCACAGGAGTTTCACATCTTTTATAAATACAGAAACGAGAAATATATTCTTGTTTTTTTTAGTTTATTTTTTCTAAAATATAGCTCAAGTGTTGAGATAAATAGATTGACTACTTGCCAAAAACCCAAGCCCTAACATCTAAACTTCAGGCAGAAAATGCTTAATGCAGTAATATTTTCTTACTTCTACCTCTAGACATGTATTGTGCTGATCTGAGATGAGACACAATTAAAATGACTCAAAATTCTACACTACAGAGTGTGCAAATTACATAAAGTATGTGCATGTAAAATGTGAGGTTGGAACTGGATAGCATTATCTCTTAGGACAACCGTTTAGAAGGTTTTCTTCTCTAGAAAATAGCAGAGAGCGGGATTAACATAAAGGCTTGTGGCATAGAACTGCCCATAATAATTTAACATATAGAAATATTGGATTAGAAGCTGTGTTCTCTGATTACCCTTTAATAATTTCTTATTATATAGTGACTGCTATTCTAAAGTACCCAAACCACAGGGTTTTTACATAATTTATTGTTAAATGTTCAGAGTGGTGAGAATCTTGAAGAGACTGCACCTTCACAAAAATATGATGCTTCTAGTAATCAGCTGGACTGACACCTTGGATTAACACAAAGGATTCTTTGTTTTGCCCCATTTAAGTAGATATATGTACAATTTTTGTTTTTAAAGGCATTTCTCTCTCTGCATCTTTCATTACAAAAAACTCTATAATATTTTAAAATGGCATACTAAGAAAAAAAATCAGAAATCTTGAAGGAAAAGCCTTCAAGATAAATCCAGAAAGATCATTTTCAGACAAAATCATGTTCACTCTTCCACCTGCATCTGATATGACTCTCTTGCAATATCCCACTACTGGAGCAAACAAGATACAGGAAACCTCGACTTACAACAGTTCATTTAGTGATGGTTCACAGTTACTGAAAGTTACACGGCACAGAAAAAAGTGACTTATGACCATTTTTCACACTTACAACTATTACAGCATCTCTTGATCACGTGATCAAAATTCAGACATTTGGCAATTGATTCATATTTATGACAGATGCAGTGTCCCAGGGTCATGTGATCGTCCTTTGCAACCCTTTTGACTAGCAAAGTGAAGGGGGCAAGCCAGATTCAATTAACCATGTTACAAACTGAATAACTGCAATGATTCACTTACCAACTGTGGCAAGAAAGGTTGTAAAAAGGGAAAAACTCATTTAACAATGGTCTCACTTAGCAACAGAAATGTTGGGCTCAATTGTGGTGGTAAATTGAGGACTACCTGTATCTATGGCAATATTATCTTTCTTCAAAAAGGATTACATTTAGTCTAACAGCCATATCAAATTAAAGAGCATTTCTGAATGTACTCATCCATAGCAAGCAAGATCTTTTTCAGGAGCACTGCTCAGTATACATTTCGTCTTTCAAGAGGAAGTATAGCTCCAACTAGAATAGTTTGAATACTTCTTCCAGATCAGCTTTCCTTATATCACTAGAATTTCAGTCCCTCAGTAGGGTTCTGTAACTGTTCACCTATTTGGATTTACAAAATCAAAGCACACTATACCACACCAAGGGCAAAGAAACAAACATTTTTAATTTATACTCAGGTTAGTTACTATTTGTGAATTTTCTTCTGTACATATTAACATTTCTATATAATATGTTTCAGGGGTCCAATTTCCTACTTCAGTTGCCAACTGGCAGATTTTACGGGCCAGGAAATCCTACTTTCAACAGCAGAGCTTTAAAGTTAGCTTTTTGACAGTAAATTATCTATGTATTTGTAGAGTTACCAGCCATTGATCTTCTATAAACTATATATAGGATTAGAACTTGCTTTCAGTATTTTTATGGGTTTACTGCAAAATTATTTTTAAAAACATATTATTTTCTTTCTTCTTCTTCACTGTTTCTGCGCTCTTTTGTTTCCATGCCTCTGAACTTTTCCTCATCTGAGTTAATTGCAGGACAAACATGCTTTGGCAATTGTTATTTTCTGCCAGGTTCTCATAAAAACACTTTCTCCAGTTCCCCAGCCTATACCTGAACATGTTATAACCTCCTCAGCTTTTCAAACCATTTTTTTTTTGGCCAGGGACACGCTCATTCACACTTAATTCAGTGATACAGTCTGGTGTTTTCTGTGGGGCAGAATTGGTGCAATTCCTATTGGTAAATGTTACTGGTATGAGCAGCCCCCTGATCTAGTCTGGACAAGAAACTCCAGATCCTTCAAACTGGCCTTTCCTCAGTTCAGACACCTGGCTCTTGTACCGCCGATTCAGAGATCCTCCTGAAATTGGGATCTATCCCCTAACAGGTGATAAACACTGAAAAGGTGAAGTGGGAGGAAGGCGACTTCTATCACAAAGCACTCTATCCACCAATCACAATACATCTGCCTAATGTCAGTCAAACTACTTTTGAGCACAGATTTAGTCCTGTTCTGAAAGAAGGCTAACCAATAATGGTAGGTGTGACCAAAAGGTTGCACTGTGCAGTGGGTCTGCTCCCTTTTGCTTCACTCGGCAACCCCACAATACCTCTTGATAGCTATTATATATTTATAAATCCTCTGAACCATGCAAAGTTTGAATAAGCTTTGATGGATGGCTAATCCTCTTAGTGTACCCATTTGTCACAACTTATATAGACCAAGTCTCTAAGACTTATCTCTCTTGTTTAGTCCTAGTTTCCTGATATTAGGGGAGTGATTGTTTGATATTTCCTACCAGCTAGTAATGTCTGAGGGAAGGAAAACAAATTTCCAGACAGTATAAAAATCCCAACAGCTTCTCCGCTAAATGATCAGTGGTAAGATAAGCAATGCGAGGTACCTCAGGTCCTTGGGGGAGGACCTGCGAGGCCAGGTACATATACAAGTGTCTCTCCACTTAAGAATTCAGAATTCTTCTCTGGATTTTGCCAAGGATGATTTTCAGCACCAGAGTACAGAGGCAGCACAAGGTAAAAAGTATGAAATGCCTGGCCGGGAAGTATGTCCAGAAAACAAGTTAAACTCTGGTTGAGAAGTTTTCTAACTGAGAATTATTACTGAGGGGGAATGTAAGACATATCCATAGGGGAGAAGGAAGGCAGTAATACTATTATTTTATGTTATATGTTTTTAATGTAATGTTATTAACAGTGTATATTAATACGGTGTATTACACTTAGCAGTGAGGACTAGTCTCACATACAATGCAGTCATCAGGTTTTCTATACTATTTTAAATTGAGACTAAAGAGGTTTCTTGTTTTGCACTATATAGATGGTGGTAGTTTACCCAAGAAGAACTAAACCAGTGTATTATTTGTAGACTTTTTCTCAATGCAAGCAAAGGTCATGAATAATCCCAGTTTTGACCTCACGCCGGCATACACTGGACTTCCTAGCTCCAAACCAACAAGTTGCCAGTGGTAGTACATAAAACCAGTATCACCTCATCAGGTTCTCCTTACAGGTTCCCCAACTCCTCTTGGCAAGAGAGCAAAAGTGAAGATCCTGGGAAACTGTGCCCTCTACACAAGAAACCACATCCAAATCCGGAAATGTACAGCCTTCCAAGAAAAATCTCTTGCTGTACCAGAAATACACCACTTGAATGCTCTTAACTGATATCCACTAGGAAAAGAACTAGGAGTGCCAGATTGCCAGGTGAAAGGGTTGGTCTCTATGGAAAAGTGTCTAGGCTTATCAACTACAGTTTCAACATGCTATTAAACAGAGGACAGGGGGACATCTTGCTTAATCTTAGTATTGGAGAAATAGTTTATCACAGTTCAAATTAACCTCTGTAGAAGGATGAAAAACAGCTGAGAAAGATTAGTTTGAAGAATGCTCCAAAAATCAAACAACTTAGCATGGCAAACTCCCAGCTTAATGCTATTAATGGTACTTTTGCAAGTTAGCTCTAAAGAAAATTCAGCCTACGTACACATATTTTTATACATTGTTATTAAAGCATTATGATCTGACAATGGTTAATTATCTATTCTTGTTGAAATGCACATGGTTGGGATACTACATTTTATGCATGTTGTTATTATAGAAACAATAACAACATGCATAAAATGTAGTATCCCAACCATGTGCATTATTGTTTCTATACACTACTGCAAGATATACTGAACATATTTTCTCCAGATTTTAAATTGTTTTGATTTCTATCCCCTACCATATTCTTTCAGTGACCTTCACCTCTGTTCTCCCTTGATTGTAAAATTGTATAGTGTTTTTTCTTGGACATACGGAATGGCTTTCTTTATTAAACTGCAAACATTTCCAGGCACTGATAATGCTTAATAACTAAACAATTATTTAATCAATAAATTACTGATCACTATGCATTGTCTATTACAGTTATTAAACATTTATGCAATTCTGTAGGGAAAAAGAAATTTTAATATTTATACTGGAAAACAACTTCAAAATCAAGTTTCTTCGCATAAATATATAAAGTTGAGGACAACTTACCGTTCAGGTGATTCTTCACAAATGCTATGGCAATCAGTAGTTTCCAACATTAAACTACGAGTAAGATTCTGTACTCCTGGATAATGGAAGTTAGCAAAGGAGTGAGACATAGGAGATGTTTTTGTCCCAAGGTCAGTGATACGTTTATCATGACCTGTTAACCCACAGGAGAGTCCATCCAATGCAGGATTTAAGGAACGGCTCATGTAAGCATCAGCGGACTGAGGCCGCCTCATGGGAGAGGACGGATAAGGAGAAAGTTTGCTGATGAGGGGTGTCAAAAGATCAGCGTAGGCAGCTTTTGTAGGTTTTAAAAGTTTGTCAACATGAATGTTAAGCATTTTTTGTTCAAAAGCACAACAGAAAACAGTAGAGGGCAGATTCTGAAGCCACGATAGCAAACTAAGGTCCAAATCATCACATCCATTCCCACATAAAAGGTCAATTCCGAGTAACACTTCACTCTCTGTAATTTCCTCTCCTGTTGCTTTACTCTGACAGAACTCAACACAACATTCATATAACAGCCCCTTCATCAGAAGCTGAAATAAGCGATTATTGCTTGCTTTAAATCCAGCCTCACTTAGTTTTCTATCAGCAGGAATAAACTCTGCCACCATGATACAAGCCTCTTCAAAACAGTGAACTCGTGCAGTGCTGGGATTCCAGTCCTTGAATTCTGCATGGTTAGTCAGACGAGGCAATGTGAGTAGTAAACACAGTTTGCTATAATCTTCTTTACAAGGACAATATTCTTCTAGAGCATGTAGGCACTGCACAGCTTCCTGCATTGTAAATTCCAACTGCGGAGGAAGGGGGGGGAAGCATTTTTGTTTACTTAAGGGAATAAAGTAAATTTATCACAATGCAATTAAACATACGGTAGTTGCAATTCATTTGTTCTGCTAAAGATATTTACTGGATCATACCAATACAAAATAGTGCATTTTATTTCCCTTTGAAATCTAATGGTATTTCTTTCTCATATACATGTTTTAGACCAAGTTTAAAGCAACTTCTTATAGACATACTTTATATGTCTGGTATTAAAACTGGATTACTTTTTGATGCTTCCGGTTTGTCGGCTTCGCGAGCGGCAGGGATTTGCGAAGCTGCGCGATCCCTGCCGCGCTAGCCGTTTTTGGGGCTCCGACCCAGCCGGGTACGGAGCTAGGCTGCCCTGCAGGGGCAGCTGAAGGTAGGGGGGATCCGGAGAAGGGTTTGGGGGTGCTGCAGACCCCCTCCCTGGCCGGCAGAACCCCCTTTTCCCAGGACGGTGCAGCGGCGGTCCGTAATGGCCGCCACAAAGAAGCTGGCAGCCGGGTAAGAATGCGCAGGAGGAAGTGGAGAAAGTGATTGAGAGGAGAAAGTTTTTCTTGGCTCCTAGGACTCTAAGACATATTTAATAAAATTCCTGAAAAGTATGACTTTCTGAATAATACCTGCCAGAAGAGGAAAAAAGCGGCTGCTTGAAGGTGCTGAAAGGATAGCTTTCCCTCTTTTCCTACGGAATAAATAACTGGATATTAAGAAACCTATTTTTTTAGGTGGAAATTGGTTTTAAGCGATGAGTGGGAAGAGAGAGGATTAAAAAGAAAATATTTGTATGCTAAGATTTGTTGGAGCGGATGCCTTAAGGATTTGAAGACTAGAATATATTGTAACAAGACTTTAAACAGATTTGGACTTTCTTTCTCTTTGATTGATATCACCCCAGAAGGAGAAAGTGAGAACTCTGCCTTGGTTTGGACTGATTGATAACTTTGGGACTGTTTTATCTTTTTTATTTTCTTTTGAATATTCTGGTTGTTGTAAGAAGAAAGAAGGAGAAAAGAAAAGAAAAGATTTATAATGGCTCTTTCTGTTGAGGAACTAAGAAATGGTGTGGAAGAAGCTTTTCTTTTCTTAGAAATGGCGCTTACTAATTATCAACAAAAATTACAACAGATGAAGACAGCAGAGGAACAAGAAAGAAAGGAAGGAGCCATCTTTAATGAATCTCAGAATTTGATCCAGAAAAAAGGAAGAGAGAAAGAAAAGAAAAGAAGAGAAAAGAAGAAAACTAAAGGATTTAAGGACTTAAGATCTAAAAAAACATTTAAGAAAGGGAAAAATAAAGTGCAAAACCAATATGATGATTGTAAACAAAGGGGAAAAGAAATACGACAGAGAAGGGAAGCCGGTAAGGCAGAGGCTAGAAGAAGGGGGGGTAGAAAGGTTTGTTGGGAAAAGAAAGAAAGGGAAAAGGTGGAGAAAAGCTACAACGTTTTGAAATTAAATGGAAAAAAGGAATTTTTTATGGATAATGGATAAAGTATAATTTTTTTTTTTTAAAAAAAAAAGATTTTGCAAGGTACATAAGATGAGATGGTAGTATTGCAATGGTTTAAGAGTTGATAAGAGATTAAAATGTTTAAATGTTTAAAAATGATTGGTTTTAAAACTTAATAATAGGAGAGGTTTAGAATATTGTTTTAATTAAAGAGTTTAATAAAATTATGGTATTGATGTTATTATAAAATTTTTATTATAGTATTTCTTTTTAATATTTGGATTTATTCTCTAATTATGCACTTAATTGTGTTGGATGTATTAGTTAGATAGAATGTACCAAGCAAAATCTGATTGGGTATTAGATATTATTTTAAAGATTAATTTGATTAACTTAGGGGGGAGATAGAAAGGCATCATACTCTGATTAATGATTTCAGGAGAAACTGATTTTCTTTTTTTTCATAAGGGATGAGACAAAGGGATGATAAAAAATGGACAAAAGATATAAATATAATGATTTAAACTAAGATGATTAATTAAGGTAGAATTAAGAAGTGTGAAACATGTGGAGAAGTTAATATAGAAGGCTTAGAATGGTAAATAAAATAAGTAATGATATGTAAGATGAGCATGAATATAATTGAAGTCCATGAAGAGAGAGACACCTGGGTCCAGGTTACTTTCCAAAAAGATTTTTTTTTTATGTTTTGTGTGTTGTGTGTATATGTCTTTTTTGGGGGGAGAATTGGTAAAAATTTGTAGAAATATAGAATGAGAATAATGGTAACTAAGTCAGAAAGAAACAGATGAAATAATAATAATGATATTGAATAAGAGTAAAGAGAAGTAAAGAGAAATTGAATAAGAGGTTTTGGTATATTATATGGAAATGGTTTAAAACAGAATCATAATTTATCTGACTTGTTAGGGAAAAAGGTTTAAACATGTAATGAATAATGATAATTTGTGTGTTTTAAAAATTAATAAAACTTGTTAAAAAAATAAAAAATAATAAAACTGGATTACTTTTTTCATACAAAAGAGCATTACTTTTTTCAGTCAGACCACATGTCTAATAGATGGTTGTCCATAAATCCAATTTATAAAAATAAACAAAGAATTGACAGTAATAGGCACCTTGGGTGCAATTCCAAGCACCACCTGAACACCATCAGCATTGACAAAGTCATAATCAGTCAATTGCAGAAGGCAGCTTTACTTGGAATAGCCTGGTGTGAAGCTAGCTCGCCCCCTGTGGTACATCATGGATAGTGTTAAGGGTGAAACAAATGAGTTAATAGTCATAAGGAAAGCAAGTAACTACTCTGTCGTTATTTGTAGTCTCCTGGCTAATGTAACATCGCCATATGATAAACAAACAAAATTGGAATGGCTTACATCCTGTGATATCTCTAACACCATCAAACTTTGATATTTGCCTATCCCAGGTCCTTGGAAAGGACTCAATAGATGGACAAAAATGCCAAATCCAGTCTGAATATCTGGCTGACTGTGTGATTAACCATAATAATAATAATACTCTGCCTTTCAGTCAAAATTAAAGAATAAGAACTAAACTCATAAATAAGAAATTGAAGTATTTCCAAACTTCTGTATCATATTAAAATCATACCTCAAAAATCTCGGGTAAAAAAAGGAATTTAACTAGGGGAAAAAAGACATCCGATTTCATGTCACTTAAGCTTCTCCGGGGAGAACATTTCAGAATAAGAGTCTCATGAAAGAAAAGAGCCCATTATAAAGCACTGCATGTCTTATTTCAGTATATGGAGATGCTTAAATAAGAGTCTGAAAGAAGATATTATCAGCAAGGTTTTCTTAGTCCGACTTGAGGGAATTTAGTATGATAGCTTGCTTAACATGACAACTTCAATCCTTGTGATAAAATTATGTCTGGGGATCTTTGTATTAAGTGGAACTTAGTTTTTGCTGTAAGAATAGATGTAATTATTAAGGTAAGCTAAGATTGAATTTGCTCAGACTAAAAATCAAGACATATTAATGATTTTTATGTTCTTCTATGAGGATGTTATGTACAAGTCTCACAGCTTACATGTTGAGGTTCATCCTCTGCAGACATTGCATTATTTACACATAAGGCTTCTAAAAACTTCTGTTTCAGTATGATATAACGAAATCTGTAGAACAAAAAAATAGAAATGCAAATTAAGTAGGAACAGTAACAGAAATTTCTATGAATTTTAATGTAAAAAGCATTTAGATTAAAATTTTGAAAACAAATAAAAAATATTAAACAGTTGTTGCCTTACAATTTTGGGGGGAAATTAAACAGCTGTCAAAAACAATGACAAGTTACTTAACCGTTATTTTGTTTCTATTTACATAAAGAAAGATTAACTGTTATTTGTTCAACTGATAAGCAGTCAAAGAAAAATGCAGTACAACTTAACACATCAAATAAGTTCTACAATTCATTTTTAAGAAATATGAAGTCTAAGTGCAAGTGGATCTCAAAATTAAATTTGTGTTTGCATTCTTGCACTTATATCCTTTGATTATTTTTTTCTTTTGTACAGCAGTTCCAAATTTGGTTATGAACAATGGCAGGGTTTTTAGGGGGGGAAAACTATCAATACTTCACAGCAGATGGCCTTATGATCCCAGGCAATTAGATATATAGCACTAAAAATAATTGTTTGTCTAAAAAAACCTTAACCTCAGAAACAAAGTGTTCATTTTTTGAAATAGCTTGCAGGCCATTTACCAGCAAAATCTGCCAGGGTTAAATATACTTGTATTTATGATATTATGGCATTAATCATATGAACAGGGTTGCAGTTGTGGTATTTTGTAATGATAAGAAAAATTATCCCGGTTATTATATTCCTGCAATCTTCTTGGCATCAATATAGTTAGCCTTTCTGTTATTCTAAGTGTTTTTTATTTCTCAGTATAATCTATAGTTAGTGATATTACAAACATTAAAAACTGATTACCTTTTTTTATCAAATTTATCCATGCACTCCAGAGGCTGGATGAACTGAAGAACTTCATCCCATTGGCCCTCAAGAATCAACTGTCTTTAAAGAAAAGAAAATTGAACTAAGACTTACGGAACAAACAAATCATTCCTGCAACTGTAAGTCAACTTTCAGGATGAAAAACTCTGCAAACAGTTAATAAAAGCATGTAATCTTTGAGGCTCTCCAGACTGGTCCAATAACACATGGTAAATATTTTTGTTCTTTCAATATTTAACAAATTTGTCTAAAATAATTCAGTATCAATGTAAATACTAATACATTCTGGAATTTTTTTTTTTCAATTCTGTAGGATAACAAATACATAGCTCACTAAAATATATATTTTCTGTTGGACATATATTGTGCTGAAAGGGGGATATAAACATCCCTTTATATGTAATTGCAATATAAATTCTTGGCAAATGGATGGAACAGTCCAGCAACTAAAATTGTTGAATTACAACAGCTAAAATAGTTGAAAAGATAAAACTGTATACAAAATTTTCATTATATAATGTATTAGAATTTCTCACCAGTGCATATCACTATATAATTTTTTTTAAGTAGCTGTTTTATTTTTTTTTCAAACCTAAAAGAAAGAGATGTCCAAAAATAACAAAGGATGCAGCAAATCTTCTTTTTATAATGCTATAAAGTGCTGGTGGCAGGCAAGAAAATTACTTTAAATATTTTTTCTATTTTTAGACAATGAAATCTCCCTTCTTGTAACATATTACAATTAGTACAAGACAATGATACACTTGCACACATTATGTATCAAAAGAGAAAATTTAATCTAATTATATTTTTTATTAAAAATTGTTTCAAACCAAATTTGAGTTATGTTATTTTATCTGCTTGTAGATCTTGTAACCTTTTTGCACTGTAGTCCATAATGTAACTTTGAAAAGAATTTGGTCTTGTGGATGGGGACTTATAGCAAGCAAGGTCTTTTATTCCCTTTTATGTAGAGTGTGGAATTCTTCACATTCCCTCCATTCCCAAAGGTACCTGAAGCAGCCCACAGAAAAATTGATAGCAACCAAACATATTTTTATTTATTTATTCATTTATATCCTGCCTTTATTATTTTCACAGATATATAATGTAATATATACAGTACCCACTGAAAATGGAAGGTAAAATGTGCTAGCAATTATTTTCATTCTTTTTTGCAGAAAGTGGGAGAAATTTTGTTCTTAAAAACAGCAATAATTTGGGGCAGTGGATGAAAAAAATGACATTTTTTTTGCCCTCTATTGGTCAGCTCAGTGAAGAACACCAGCAGATGCCAGTGTTCCTTGCCAGTTCTTTGTATTGGTTTCTGCAGCTGTGAAGAGGATTGTACAAAATAGTTTAAAGCAGGGGTCCTCAACCACCGGTCCGCGGACCGGTCCCGGTCCGTGGAGCACTCTGTACCGGGCCGCAAAGAAAAAAAAATGGCGGCTTTCTTCGCCTTCGGTGAATGCTGCTGGGATCGGGGATCAAGGACACAAATGAGAGAAGGGGAGGGAGGAAGCAACCAAAGCCTGTCCTGCTCTCTGGCTCAGCGGCTTTGGTTTCCTCCCGCCTCGTTCCTCTCTCAGTCGCTCTCTCGCTGCTCCACCAGCCCAGGAAGAAACTGTTTCAAAGAAGCCGGGGGTGGTGGCTTTTCCTGTCGCCGCAGCTCCTCCAAAGCGCCCGTTTACCCCCACCCCGCCACCCCGCGCGCGGTTCAATCCACAGTGCTCCGTTCTGCCTGCCTTCTTCGTTTCTGGTGAGAATAATAACTATTCGCCTCTTTTTATCAGCCGAACCTGCTCCGAAACGAAGAAGGCAGGCAGGCAGGCAGAACGGAGCACTGTGGATTGAACCGCGCGTGGGCGGGCGGGGTGGGGAGGGAGGGAGGGAGACACCTGAGGGATGGGGCTGAGGGAGGCAGGGCCGAGGCGCTCCCTGAACTTGGTGGTTTGCTGGCAGACGTTTTATTACCCGACTAGGTAACAACATCAGATGTTACCTAGTCAGGTAATGAAACGTCTGCAAGCAAACCACCAAACTCGGTTTCTTCCCCCCCCCTCCCGGTCCTTGAAAAAGTGTTTGTGCTTGAAACTGGTCCCTGGTACAAAAAAGGTTGGGGACCACTGGTTTAAAGACATTGGAGAGTAGAAACAGAACCATGTGGAAATGCCCTGGGTCTGACAGGGATTAAAGCATCTTAATTAAAAATATTCACTTTATTTTGCAGTATATTTAACAATGTAATAATTTATACCTTAAGAAAAGCATATCATCTGAGAATAGGCCATTAATTACACCACTTTCTTTTTCTAGAGCCAACATACTGATATGAAGCTTTCTTGAATTCAAGAAGTCCAGTATTAGTTTGACTATTTCAGCTTCTTTTATGTTCACTGTCTCTTCAGCTGTCATTGTGTAGGCTGGAAAGCAAAGAAAATTACAAATCAGATCAGATCCAACCTAAGAAAATTCCATCTGGCATTATTTTATTTCAACAAGCAGAAAAAACTTAAATTAAAATTGCTGCCATTCAATATATTCAAATCATTTATACAACAATTCACATTTGGTGTCTTTGCCGAGAGTAATGCTAACATACTAAGCTATGTTTCAATTTACAAGGATTCAGTAGCACAAACAAGATTAAACACTTTTTAAGTAGTCTAAAGAATATTTAGACATTAATAAAACTGAAATTCTACCTGATATTATAGCTACATATATACAGATTTTAATACACATACACATACAATTCTTAACTTTATATAATTATTAACATGACAGACGAAGACACATTTATTGCAAATGAATACTTTGTACTACATTTGTTCTATTAAATCTGTCTTCTCAATTTAAGGGAAAATGACACGTTTAATGTGATTCAACATTTTCTCCTTATTTATATTCCATTGCAAACTCAAAGAGCTAGTCAATATATAATATTCAAAATAATATCAGTAGATCAGACTTTGGGCATATGGTATCAGTGGGGGATGAAGTAGAAGAAATAGCCATGCTTGGCAAGGTTGAAGTAACTGGAGTAAGAGGAAAATACTGCATGAAATGAATTGACTAAATCAAAGAGATTAATGGAATATCCTTGAAAGGAATATGAATTATTAACAGAAGCAGGTCCAATAGTATTTGCCCTTACAACCCACAGGGACTATTCCCAACTCTATGTTCCTTAACTAGCTAACTGCTTGGAGCCAAGAAAAAAAAATACAAAATTGTTAATAAAAATGCTGCTTTTAAACACTGGAGAAACAGGAAATGTTTTAAACAATACCAACTATGGGAAGCCTTAACTAAAATCTGCAATTCAATTAATATGTTTTAGAAATTATAGTTCACCTATCTGTTCCTTTCTTGGCTGATAAGTAAAATAAAATAAAGATAATTTTTTGGGGGGGAAACTGCAAAAGTGATATTTAAACACTGTTGAAAATGTGTTTTAATTGATTTTCTTAAAACGGCTGCATTTTTTCCAGGATTCCATTTTGCAAAATAGCTGTCTGAATACACACACACACACACACACACACACACACACACACACACACACACA